GCTTACTGGGTCTGACTTGAACATATCCCCAATCTTCTAATCCATCTCTGCTGCTCCTAACCCTCCCTATGGCTCCATGAGAAAGAGAAGCAGAAAACAGGACAGAGAAAAGAAACACATACAACTTGTCCATCCCAAAATCAAAAAGGAAAAAGATCCAATGCCCCCTTCTCAGTACTGGCAGAACAAACGGGATTGTATTTATATGTTTATGCATGCACAAAGAGAATAGACATGGTATTTGATATATGCAATGAATGGTAGGGACAAATATTTTAGGAGTAGAGATGGGTTTGCTTCAATCTGTAAAAGAAACGTACAATGTGGGGAGAAAGCGTGGGGGAAGGTATGTTGTTGTTGCGATTTTGCAGTGAAGAAAAGGACTTGTGAGAATTTGATCTAGTGAAAGTCTTACCGTCCTTTTTAACCTCTGTAACTCTGTCCTTTCAGTGAACTTTTGGGTTATTTTAGGCTTCATTCTGCAAGATTCCCATAAAAGAGGGGAATTGGGATATATATATATATATATATATATATATATATTTCTGGATTTGTAAAGTAGAAAGCTGGCTTACACGCTCTATTGTAATTAATCTCTTGATTTGTTATCAGTTGGCATTAGATCAATAGGAAAATGATTCATTCCCTCCACAATCTTTATAACACATCATATCATGCACTAGTAGTTATGACTGACTCTAAATAATTGTGTGAATTAAAAGTTGTTTGGTATATTGATTTAAAATTAACAGTTAGTGATTGTATCTAATTTGATGGTTAATAATAATTATTATTAATTCAAATATTATTATTTATTGGATTAAAAAAAACTATTAATCATCAATTTTAAACTACTAAACCAAACAATCCCTTAAATATACACCCACACATATTGTTGGCACAAAAGGATAACTTGTCACACTTGTTAAGAGGTAACGTAGTATAAGCAATGTCATACAAGAAGTAGAGAAACAAGTGCTAGAATAGTTTTTTTTATTATGGAGTTCAACACAGTTCAACTATAAATTAATTAGAATTCAATATGACTTTCAAAAACTCTAAAGCTAGAAAAAAAACATATCATACAAGAAGTAAAGCTTGGGAAGGAAACCCCACTACCTAGAACAAAAGGAAAACCATTGTTTGGATAAAGGACGTTGTACTATTTCTTGAAGCTTTTGTTCTATGGGAAATGATTCATGCACTCACCAGTTTAACACTTAGTAGTGCACACTCCATAAAATAAACAATTCCCTAAAGCCTTAATCTCGTAGCCATCCATGGACCTTTGACCTATTCATGCAGCCAAACAGATTGCAAAAATCAAAATTACAAATTTATCCTTAAAGCCATCTTCTTCCCTCACAAAAACTTTTTTTCGTCTAGTCTCTTTGTCTCTTTCTTCACCAGTTCAACACCAGTTTCTCTACTTTCTTCCTTCTCCCTCTCTTCTTCCCTCTCTCTTTGCCTACTATAACAAACAAGTTCTTGGCAACACCTAGGTTCAAATCAATCTTAGAACTCCCAAGACTTGGGTGTGTGAAGAACCCAAGACTTAGGTTTGTGAAGAACCCAACACCAAGGTTCAAATCAAACCCAGATCAGGGTTTGCTCAAATTGAATCCAAATTGAGGTTCAAATTGAATCTAGGACTTGGGTTCAAATCAATCCTAGCACTTGGTTCATGATGTACCTAGGTTTGGGTTCAAATCGAACCCAACACTTAGGTTCATTCTAGGTTTGTGAGGAACCCAATATCTAGGTTTAAATCAAACCCAAGAAACATGCTTGTCATCTAGATTTTTTCGGGTTTGTTTGAATCTGTTGTCTCCAAAATCTCCATTTCCGGCTACGTGGCAGATAAGACTGC